TGGAGTGGCCTCTTCTGAGCCAGTCTGTCCCCATCCTGCCTTCCCAGGCCCCTAGCAGCAGGTCCTTGTGAGGACCTCTTCCCTCATCACAGCATGCAGCCTGGAGACCCAGATCATGGCCACTGGTCACGGCTGCTGTCCCCAGGTGACACCACCCGGGGCTGGAGGTGCACGTGGTGCCAATGGCCCCGGAGGGCTCTGAGCACCCTGCTGCAGGCAGATACAGCCCCTGCCAGCGGGCACTTATCACCCCCCTGCAGCTGCCCAGAGGGTGGGGAGATGCAGCAGCTCCTGTGATGCAGACAGGACAAGGGCTCTGCAGGGACGTTGGGGGGAACCCTCAAGCTCAGGCGTTAGAAGAGGTCAGGGCTGTGGTCTGCTCCAGGGGGTGGGAGTCGGCCACCAGGAGGAGAGGTGGAAGCTGCCCTGGTGTGGCCCCCACAGAGGTGCAGGTACCAGACTCTCAGCTGTGCTCTCCAGGCCATCCAGCCCCTCTGGACTTGGATCAACTCACTCAACCAAGCTGGAAACTCTGTCCAAGCCCAGCAGAGCCATTTACTGACGTGGAGATCAGAGGAGTGGAGAGCAGACTGAAGACCTTCAGACCCGTCCAAAACCTCCTTTCCTGGAGCCAGCCTGCAGGTGAGCACTGGCTGTCTAAGCAGTGCTGAATGCTGTGACTTTCCCCATCATTCCAGCTGCTTCTTTATCCTCTTGAGGCAGCCTGAGTGTTGCAGTTTCCACTTTTGACAGGGAATCCTGCCTCCCCTCCTGTTGATCTTCTGCAGACATACTGGCATCCAGGATGGAGAGAGAAGAGAGTGAGACCCTGGCCAGTGAGGTGGAGGAAATGAGTGGAAGAGGTGAGTTTTCAGAAGGGAAGAGGAGGGGGAATTGTCCTCTGATAAGGAGAAAAAGACATCCTGCTTCTGCTGTAGAGGAACTACTTAGGATCAGAGCACACGGGGCTTGTCCCAGCCTGGGGTGCTCGGGGGGTTGAGATTTGGTAGCTGCAACACCCTCAGCTGAATTCCTCCTGCTTATTTGTAGACCCCCCCAACACCACCAAAGACACCCGAGCTGCCAGCCCTGGCTCCCCCTCTTGCTCACAGAAAGAAACAGGAATTTGGGGCCGTGGGTTATTGGTGCTGGGGTAACGTTTGGTATGGGCTGCCCTGGTTTGTGCCCAGACACCCCCGTGTCACTCCTGCAGCTCTAGAGACACCCGGGCTCAGGTCCAAGTGTCTGCACAGCAGATGTCACCCACCACTCAGGTGCATCCCCCTGCAGGGAACTGAGGCCAGGATGGGCAGGGCTCAGACGGGAGCTCCTGGGGCAGGGGCAGGGCTGG